TGTAAGGGATCTTTGTTATGTGATGAATATTCCAATCTTGACAAAAATTGCGAAATCTCTTGCTAGTGTAGGCAGGGCCATTGTCCGTCTTTAAGTATGTAGGAGTGCCCATCACAGCGAAACAGGCCAGCAAGTGGCTGATGACATATTTTGTGGACTCACCAGCCATGCCTGATGCCTATAAGAATCCTGAGAAAGTGTCTATAGTCACATGCACAGCTCCTAGACGTCCAAATGAAGGTATGTGAGTGACGTCCATTTGCCAGATAGCATTAGACCGGTCACCACGCGGGTTGACTCCGTCAGGTCCTTCTCTGAGTGAGGCGTGCTGACAGTGAGGGCATTCTCTGACAATCTGCCTGGCCTGTGCCCATGTCAGGTGATATCCATCCCTAAGGCTGGCAGCGTTACTGTGTAACCTTTGATGTTCTGCCTGTGGGAGCTCTAGTGTAGTGAATGCCTTCTGTGTTAGCTTTTCTGCATTGGCATTTCCCAGGGAAATTGGTCCCAGTAACTGTGTGTGTGCTCTCGTGTGTCCTATGAAGGAGGGATGGCTGCGTGTTCTTATCTGGTTCTGTAAAGTGAGGAATAATCTGCCGATGTCAGAGTGTGGATCTACCTTCAACTTCGCTGTTTCAATGAAAGAACAGACTTGCACTGTGTAAGCAGAGTCACTGATTATGTTGATAGGCTGCCTCATATCTTCAAATAAAAGGCTCCTCACTTGAGCGGGAGTGTAAGGCAGAATTATGACAGCCGGATCAAACCCACATAGCTGTCGGCAGCGGAGCCTGCCTTTAGATACCAGCTGGGCTATTTGCTCCCTGTAAGGCCAGATGACCTTAGGGCCAGTGTTCCCTAAATGTATCCACTCAAGAGGCTTATCCTCTTGGGCCAAAGTAGCAGTGGGAGTGACCGGAGTGTGAAAAACAGTAAGGTGTATGCTCTTGTCAGGATCGACTGGACAGATCGCCCCCTGGCTGAGCCTCTCCTCCACAGACTGCAACCCGAGGCGAGCCTCAGCGGTGAGCTCTCTGGGGCTGCTCAGCTGACAGCCCCCTTCAATCTTTCAAATAATGTTTAAGTTCCTCTGTGGGGATACCTATGTAGCGTCTTATCCAGTTTATTTCTCCTAAAAGTTTCTGGAAATCATTCAATGTCTTAAGATGGTCTTTTCTAACCTCAAGTCTCTGTGGCTTGATCGTGGTCCGATTTATCAC